TGGGCACATCAATGTGTGGGGAGCGATTTCGCGTTACAGCGTCTCCTTCTTCTCCGAGTTCGGCGACCGCATGAACGGCGACGCCTACCTCTCCTTTCTGAACGAAAAGTTGAAAGACAGTCTGGCCGCTTGGGGAAACGACCCAAACATGATTTTCATGCAGGACAACGTGCCCTGTCACAAGCAGAAGGACGTGATGAAATGGTTCAAAAACCAGAACCTCACCCTCTTGGAGTGGCCTGCGAACTCCCCCGACCTCAACCCCATCGAGCATGCGTGGAACATGGTCAAGAACGCTGTGTACAAGCAGCGAGAGATCACAAACCAAGATATGCTCTGGGAGCGCTTCCAAGAGGTCTACCACAAGGTCCTCACCGTCGAGGTCTGCACCTCGCTCATTTCATCCATGCCGCGCCGCATCAAAGCAGTTTTGGATGCCCAAGGTGGTTAAACCAGTAGTGAAGTGGTTTGGTGGGGCTCATGCGTCCGTATGGTAGTGTGTTTGTGAAAGTTGAAAAAAAAACGCCAAAAAGTCCCGTTTTTGGACGATCGTGTTTTGTCCCTGTTAGCATCTTTTCTCCTTCCCCCGTCGTACCAGTCATCACCCCTCCGCTCCTCTCACTCTAAACACATAGAATGTACATATATACATGCAGTAGAGAGGGAAAAGGGAGATTTGTGGTCAAAAAGGTCGCAGGGCGGGGTGAGGAGTGGGTTAGGGTTAAAAGCTGGCCCCGAGTTAAGTGTTAGGTTGCCTTCCAAAATTGGAACCACGTTTTTCAGAAGATCTAAGATATGTACTTACACCTATGAAATGCGCTGATTCCGAATCTGCAATAAAAAGTATACGTCATCGCGCTCCTTTTTGCGCAAATCGAGCTCAGAGGTGAATTTCGCACGGTTTTACCATGGTTTCCCAAACCACTTCCCCTCCTCTGATTTTCCAGAACAAAGATAACATTCACATCCATCTATACAGTGCGCCGAATCCGAATCTGCAATCAAAAGTAGAGATCACCGTGCTCGTTCTGGTGAAAATCGACGTCAAAGGTGAATCTCTCACGATTATGCATTGTTGTCTCCAACAATTCCCCCCCCCCCCCGAGTGTGCAGAGCAATTCTGATGCGAATATTTATCCACGATGCGAGCTGGTTCCGAATCTGTCATAAACAGTGCACCTCATCGTTCTCGTTTTAGTGCAAATCGACTTTGAATGTGTTTGTTTGCAATTTTGCCACGAATCCTCTCGCCCACATCATGTTGTCGAAAAAAGTGAGGTGAACATTTGGATAAAACAAATGCGCTGATTCCGGAAGAGAGCAAAAAAACCACGACGGAAGGAGGGGTGAGTACCATGATTGCGAGTGCCCCGAGCTCATCGAGGTGGAGGGAGGGGGGGGGGTTTGTTTACCTCTCAACGGCAGAGAGCGGATAGCTCACTCCCGCAACGCCCAAGCCAAACACGCCAGCTCCGATGCAGAGTGCGGAAAAGATGGTTCCAAACACTGCAAACACTAGGATCGATCCGATATTGTGGAAAAAGTTGCCCTGAAACCAAGTCCCAAAAGGAAAACCGAAAGGGCCAACCCACAACGATCAATGCTTCACAGCCACTTTCTTGTCAACAAAACAACACAAGTAACAAATGCAAACAAACCTTGTGCAGCGAGTAACCCGACTCGAAAATGATGGGAGGCAGCAGAATGAGGAAAAACCCGGTTGGATCAATCCGCTCTGCGTTCGTCCAGTAGTCTCCACTCAATCGGGTGATGATGCCGAGAATTCCACCTACAATGCAAATCGTAAAGCCCAAAAAACGAACGACAGCGATCAAGGTCATACGGGTTTACATACGGGGTGAGCACAATTTTGAGTGATGGGTCAGGCAGAATCTCCATTCGTGCCAGGGCAAAATTTCGCTGTCTGAGCTCACCGATGAACATGACAGCGAGAGACTCTGGGATGTAGTGGAACTTTGTCCGGATGAGGAGGTAGACGAGCAGCGTGCACAGAACCAGCACGAGCAGAATGAAAAAGATGGTCCTGCTGACCGAGAGCTCGTCGCCGTTGCCGCCGCCGTCTGCGTTGGGCTCGTCGGGACTGCCTGTTGGCGAGGGCGTGGGCGTGTGTGTTGCCGATGGCAGGACGGTTGTCGTCGTCGTCGTCGTTGTCGGTGATGATGATGATGATGCAGTGAGCGTCTCACTGCCGACCACCACTGTGCCGTCCTCCTGCGCCTCCACGACTGCGAGCGCGCCGCAGAGAGACAGAGCTGCAACGAGTGCAATGGCGATGGTGATGGCCACAGAAGCAGCAGTCGTTGCGCGCCATTGTGGTGGCGACTGCCGTGCTCGTGCGCGTCGTCGTGTTTGGGGCTTCATACAGCTGCCCCTTCGGAAACCTTTCTTCGTTTCCCAACTCGGAGAATGAGAAAAAATGAAAAGTGACCAACGCCGAAATACTGCAGTGGTCGAAAACACAGTCACTACGGCTCAATCCAGCAATTTTCCAAAGTGCTCTTGCATTGAAGCCCACACACAACCAAAGCCCACACACTCGCTTGAGTTGTTTTGCATTGACTTTTTATAAATCGTCTTTTTGAATTACTGTGTATTTGAGAGTCCACGTCATCCTGATGGGGTTCGTGACAAAAGTGAAAAGTGCGTGGGACAAATAAAACGACTGGCAAGGTGATTGAAACAAAGCCGTGACGCCGGATCTGGAAAACCGAGCGTCGCTCGTCAGGCTCCGTTTGGCACAACATGACCACGAGAGGAAAGTGCCCGCCGACTTGATTACATGACTGTCCTCTGGGAGCATTGGATCACGAAGCGAGTTTAAGGGTTAAAAGCTGCCTCCCGGTTAGAGAGGCGTCTCTAATTCCGAACAAGATTTTTTGACTGGGCCACCATTACGCCCCTGATTTTAATTCCGAACAAGAGTGTTTTTGAGCCACTAGTCGATGTAGAAGCCTCTAATCCGCTTCCCCGCTTGAAATTATAGTAAAACCAGTCTTTTTTATCGATGGAGGTAGAGACCGAGGCGGCAGGGTTGTGCTGCGAGTGGTTGCGGGCTGTGAAGGATGCTCCTGAAAAGAGCAAGCGTGACATTGCTTTCGCCGTTGCTCTCAAACTCGTGTTCCCGCCTCCCGTGGTCCTTCCAGGAGGCACCATGTATCAGCCCAAGGGCTGGACGTCCCGCGACGTAGCCGCGCGGCTGGCGGAAGCGGGCTCCCGATGTGCTCACTCCACGATCCACGAGTTGACGATGAAACACTTAAACTCCGCCGACTGGATCCGTTCCAGCCCGCTAGATCAAGTTGTCCAGCTCATCAGAGACAGCCCGAAGGTCGGTGCGCCGGCCATTTTCACCTATGATGAAATGGAGCAGTGTATCCAAATGCTCGAGGGGTTTGCTCGAGCCGGGCAATGTCTCACGCAAAAGAAAGCTGGCGTCTATCTTGTGGCATTGTCGCGCCTGCCTCAAATGTCGGGCGCCCCACGACGCCAGTTCACTCGTAGCGAGCCGAGCCGCCAGTGGTGGAAAGACTTTCTCCATTTTTGCAGCGGTCGTCTCGCCATTCGTCAAGGGCGAACGCTGGAGCTCTCCAGGATTGCTGCGTTTCAAGCGCAGGTCTTAGAAGCCCGCTTTTGAAGCAATTGTTCGACGAGCATCCACTTCTCACAGCAGAACCCGGTCGGATTTGTAACATGGACGAGACTGACATCGCGACGCGTTTCTTCGCGGGCAAGGTCATTTGCACTCCGTCTTCAGATACGCGTAGCGCGCTCGTGGAAGGCGGACACCAGAATTCGCTCGGTGCTCACATGACTGGCGTTTTCACGATCTGCGCTGACGGCTCCGCCCCGTCGGTACCGCTAATCATCTTCTCGAAACTCAACAAGATTCGCAGCGCGACAGAAGATGTAGACGACGCGATGGCTGTATTTGAGACCTCAAAAAACGGCTACATGACAAAGGAGCTGTTCAACAAGTACGTCTTGTCCTGGGAGCAGACTATGCGTGCAAAGTACAAAGCAGGGCCCTTGCTCCTCGTCATGGATGGGTCGTCGACGCACCAGCTCCGGTCTGAGGTGCTTGCTCGGTTCCTGCAGAACGACATACACGTCCTTGTCTTGCCCGCGCATACAAGTACTGAGACGCAGCCACTGGACCGGACGGTGTTTGGATTCTTCAAGCGTGTGTTGCAGCAACAGTACGCGCGGGCAATTGGGTCCAAGGCGTTCTCGAACGACGACAAGATGCGAGTTCATTGTGCGCTTCTCGCTTGGAACTGCGTGACGAGAAAAAAGTCGAGCATCCGGGCAGGGTTTCGGCTGACGGGCATCTACCCGCTTGATATGACTGTCTACAAGTCGTGGGTAAAGAATCCAGCCCCTCCTGCCTCAGAGCAACTGGACGAGCTTGACGAGAATTCGCCTCCGAACCCCCCAGCGCCAGCCCTGGATCGTCAAGACACTGTTCCGATCGTCGATTCCTCTGTCTCAACGCCTGTTCTCATTCGAAGCACGCGTTCTTCGCGCTCATCAGACACGGAGGCTTCCACCTCCACCACGCCGGAGATGTCGAGCTCTTCTTCGTCTTCGCTATCTGTCTCACCGCTTGTTACCATTCAAGATCTTGCCGCCATGGGTCTTAGCAACATGTCTTCATCACCTCTCGACCAGGACAAGCGAGGCGTCGAGCATAAAGCCCTCGTGGCAATTCGGAAAATGCTTGGCATGCCACTCACGTTCCCAGATGTTGTCGCAACCGTCAAGGTCTCCCTCAAACTGCCAGATCATCTCAGGTACAAGACTAAGCCGGCACCAGCTCACATCGCGACGACGCCTGAAAGGCTGCAATCGACTCTGGCGAAGGAGGCGGCCGTAGCGGAGAAGGAGCGCAAGGAAGACCGCTTGTTGCCTGCCCGCTTGGATTACAGGTCGAGAGTTGCCGCGTATGAGAACGAAAGGAAGACGCTCAGTACAGAGATTGCACAATGTGATGTGCAGCTCCAAGCGCTCCAGGCGGAGCCGATGACGGCGTTGATCCAGTCGGAGATTGAGAAGACGCAGCTGCAACGTCGAGTGGCCGAGCTGCAGCTCAGTCACCTCAAGCTGCCGACTCGGAGCTATGGTGGGCGCAAAAAGTCGGCACAACCGAAACCTATGAAGACGCCGCGATCGAAGAAGACCGCTTCCAGTCAAGAGGTAACGAGCAACGCAGCTGCGCAAGACAGCTCCGCCGACAGTTCAGACGCCGAGAATGATGCAGATGGAAGCGAGTGGGACTCTGACGACAATGGAGTAGTTCAAGTGCGGCGCACTGACACACAGAGCGACAGCGACGTGGCGTTCGAGCTGAGCCACGCCGAACAGAGAAATATTGTGGAAAATGTTCGCTTGCGGCCAATCCGCCGAGCCCGCGAGCATGCGCTCGGTTATGAGGACGATGTATGCCTTCGTATTACACAACGAGTGCGCCTCGAAAGCCCTTGTCAAGTGGTGCACGCATCGCCTGAAATTGTGAACTTGTCGCAGCAGCCATCTCGCGTTGCCTTCGTTCCTGCAGTGCAGCCATCGCCCCACCTGTTCATCCAATAAACAAACATGTTGCATGTATCACTTTTCGCGCAAATGGAGGCGGCTAGGACCGCGTCTACTCGAGATGCAGTTTCGGGCTGTTCAGGCCGTTTTGTTGTTCAGCGGGCCTGCAGCCACCCCGGCGATGTTCCATGCCCTCTCTTTGCTACCAGTCGGAGAGTCTAGGTTGATGTCACATGCTCAGTAGGGCGAGGGGCCGCTCAGATGAGTATGGGCGCCTCCACTAGCGAAATGCTTTTAATTCCGAACACTCGTAATGCATGTCCAGCAAAACGAGCAAAACTGACGACTGGCGCCCTACCGACCCGGCACGTGCGATCGACCCCTCCGTCTCGCCATAATATCACTAAACCATATAGTATGTATTACTATCGAAACAAGGGGCGGATGTCGAAGCGGTAGCGAAATAGGTTTTGTTCGGAATTAGAAGCACCCTCTCTAGGGTCCTTCCAAATTTGCCAAAAATTCTAAGCTGAACATTTTGTTCTAAAAAATGCGCTGATTCCGAATCTGTACTTATATTGATACCAAATTAGGCGCATCCTAGTGTAAAATGACATTAAAGGCAAATTTGGCGTTTGTTTGCACTGTTTTCACGATTCAGTTCCGCCACACCGTTTTTCTAAAAATTCTAGTCTGAACATTTTGTTCTAAAAATTGCGCTGATTCCGAATCTGTACTTATATCGATACCAAATCAGGCGCATCCATGTGTAAAATGACATTAAAGGGAAATGTCGCATGCCTTCGCACTGTTTTCGCGAATCCTCACCCAAACATCATGTTTTCAGAAAGAGTGAGAAGAACATTGTAATCAAAAGATTGCGCTGATTCCGAATCCGTATTTGACGGACTACGTCATCGTGATGAGATTCGTTCCAAACTTGGCAAAAATTGGTCCATAAACACAGCGCCAAGCAGCAAAAGAAACAACTGGGCTGGAACAGAATCTGGAATCAATGGTGTGACGCCTGAGGGTGCATCATTCCGAAAAAGGAAAGTGCGCCACGGTTTGATAAATAATGTGCTTACGTGGCAAGTAGAAGGAAAGGGTTAAAAGCTGCCTCCTGGTTGGGGGTTAGGGTTAGGGTTAAAAGCTGGCCCCGAGTTAAGTGTTAGGTTGCCTTCCAAAATTGGAACCACGTTTTTCAGAAGATCTAAGATATGTACTGACACCTATGAAATGCGCTGATTCCGAATCTGCAATAAAAAGTATACGTCATCACGCTCGTTTTTGCGCAAATCGAGCTCAAAGGTGAATTTCGCACGGTTTTACCATGGTTTCCCAAACCACTTCCCCTCCGCTGATTTTCCAGAACAAAGTTGACATTCATATCCATCTACACAGTGCGCCGAATCCGAATCTGCAATAAAAAGTATACGTCATCGCGCTCGTTATTGCGCAAATCGACGTTAAAGGTGAATTTCTCACGGTTTTACGATGGTTTCCCAAACCACTTCCCCTCCTCTGATTTTCCAGAACAAAGATGACATTCACATCCATCTATACAGTACGCCGAATCCGAATCTGCAATAAAAAGTATACGTCATCGGGCTCGTTTTTGCGCAAATCGAGCTCAAAGGTGAATTTCTCACGTTGTCGCATTGTTGTCTCCAATAATTCCCCCCCCCGATTTTGCAGAGCAATTCTGATGCGAGTAGAGGGGGGTCGCCTGAATATGAACAAAATAAAAGTTGCTGGCTATTCGAGTGCCGCCCGGGTTTTTGACATTAAAGTACTCGACACACTCTTTTAATATATAGGTGCGACGGAGAGGTCGGCGGCGGGCGATGGGTTGGTAGGGTATCGCGTGGCAGTTTCGCTCATTTTGCTGGACAACCATTACGCTTGTTCATATTCAGGCGGACGGCCTCTCTGGTCGCGACCATCCTCATCCAGGCGGACCATCTCTGACCGGTGCCTATGTTATCGAGTTAGATCTTCCTATTTCTCGCAAGAAGCGGGACAGAATCGCGCAGGGGTGGCCGCAGGGCCCGATGGAGGCTCAACCCAGCCAAACAGCCATACGGCGGCACTTTGGATAGGCGAGTCCGAAGTCCCTTCCGTTATGCAGAAATTGATGTATGCAACATGTATGTTTATTGGATGAACGGGTGTTGGGATGGGAACATCGCGGGGACAAAGCCAAGGTGATTTGGCCGGTGCGACAGATCCACCAGCGCGGGAGGCGCCTGCACAGCCTGATCGGGACTATCGAGGCGCGCTCGTTGCGAAATACGACCGGGTGCATCATCATCATGATCGGGTGCCTGCTCGCGGGCTCGGCGCATTGGACGCAGGCGAACATTTTCCGCCATATTCCGCTTTTCAGCCGGGCTGAGATCAAACTCCACGTCGCTCTCGCTCTGTGTGCCAGTCCGCCGCACTTGACCTAGTCTGGAATCGTCGGAGTCCCAGTCGCTCTGATCCTCGTCGTCTTCGCGGTCCGAATCTTCAGAGGAGCTGTCCTGTGCTGCAGCAGTTCTCACTGGCTCTGCGCTGCGCGACAGCCTCTTCGACCGCGACGCCGTCTTGGGACCCAGGTGTGACGTTGTTTTGCGACCACCATAGCCACGTTTCGGCTGCTTGAGCTGGCTGAGTTGAATCTCTGTCAGTTGGCGTTGAAGCTGAGTGTTGTCAATGGTCATCTGCTGCAACGGATTTACCGTCTGTGTTTGAAGCTCACGAAGCTGCGCATCCAACGCTGCGATAGCCGTGATCAACCTTTGCTTTTCGTTTTCGTACGCGGCAACCCTTGATTGGTATTCAAGCGGG